ATTCTTGCCAAGAGAATCAATGTGCGTATTGAGCATATTAAGCATTCTAAGAGCAGAGATAGCTTCCTAAAACGTGTGAAGGAAAATGACCAGAAAAAGAAAGAAGCCAAAGAGAAAGGTACCTGGGTTCAACTAAAGCACCAGCCTGCTCCACCCAGAGAAACACACTTTGTGAGAACCAATGGAAAGGAGCCTGAGCTACTGGAACCTATTCCCTATGAATTCATGGCATGATGGGTGTTAAAAATAAACTAATCGGGACCAGCAGTTAGTGTTAATGGCTATGTCGCTGGACTCCCATGTAGCCGACCACGGTTGGAGTCCCAGACCCAGTGGCTTAAACTCATGCTGGGCGCATGTGCATGTGTGCCCAAGATCCCCAGAGAATGGAGGAGAAAGGATTGTGGCGTGGCCATCCACCCTCGGGGGTGATTTCTTGCTTTCTATCTCTCTGTTTCTGTCTGTTTTCCTGGTGAGCGCACACGCTCTATAGCAAAAATAAATAAATAAATAAATAAATAAATAAAAGAAATAGAGAAAGGATGCAGCATGACCATGCCTCAATGTGGGGATGCTTTCTCCTTTGCTCTGTCTCATGCATGCACCCTCTGGCAAATTAAAATAGATATTTAACCCATACGAGGCCTCTCAAAAAATGCATTTAACAAAAAAGCCAAAATAAAAATGTTCAGTTACTATAATCTAGTAACAGAATTTAAACTCACTGAAGTGCACCCAAATACAATTTGTTAAAGTATCAAGCTGAGCTTTCACAGATCTTTATTTTATTATTTTTAAAAAATTTTTAAATTATTTTATTTATTCACTCATTTATTTTAATCTGACCAGAAAGAGACAGACAGAGAAAGAGAGAGAGAGAGAAAGGAAGCCACCAAGTCTGGGATTCGAACCATGGTTGGCCATGTGGGAGTGTCTAGCGCCTTAACCACCTGCTGGCCCCACAGATCATCTTTTATAGTACAAGAGTATCATGAAGTCTAGTAGACTGAGTAGGTGCTCCATCCTTTCATACCCCAGACTCTTATTTAAACTGCTTCCCTGCCAATAAAAAATGTATTCCCCTAAAGCAAAATGCACTTCAAAAAGTTCATGAAAAAAATGAAATTAAAGTAACAGTTTATTTTGATGCAAAAAATTGGGAAATCCAGGTACAGTTTTTCATGATATGTATTTTCAGGAACTTTTTAAAAAGAATAATTATTTATTTTATTTATTCATTCATTTATTTTTTAATTTGACTAGAGAGAGACAGAGGGCGAGAGTGAGAGAGAGAGGAAGTGAGAAAGCAAGCCACCAGATTCAGGACTCAAACCCTGGTCGGCCCTGTGGGAGTGTCCAGCACCTTAATCACCATGCCACCCGCCGGTCCACTATTTTCAGGAACTTTTTAAAGTCCCCTCATATTTCTTCATAACAACATTTCTGAATTAATCACTACTACAAAGTTTAAGACGTAGAGTTGTATTACTGAACTACTAACATTCCTAACAAGGATGCCACAGTTTATAGCCAGTGGATGTCTATGAAAAAAGTAAAACTGGTTACACATTTTTGGCTCTGATTCTCCACGCAGGCAGGCGTACCCAAAATTTCTAGATCAAGGTTTTCAGTATAGAGAGAATATTGTTTCACTGTTGTCTATACTAACTTATATACTGCCTATTATATAAGAAACAAAAAACATATTTGTTGAGATCTATAGTAATGAATAAGTGAATCCATGAATGATATTTAATGAATGCCTACTACAGACAAGGTAATGTTTCTCAAGTGAACTACCCATTGGTATAAAATACTCAGTACAGGCAAATTCTCAAAAGCTAATATTCAAGTTGTAATGACAGCATATTTTTTGAGACAAAAGAAAGTAAAGGCCTAAATTTTCTTTACTGTCCAAATTTCTTAAAGTGTATTTGCACCTTCAGCAATGTTCTAATTAAAGAGAAAATGATAAATATAACCAGTGAACTTAGGAAGTAAAAAGTCTTACTACTCATTTTTGTAAAGATTTCCCAGAAAATAATTTCATTTCACCCCAAACTCACTTACAAACAGGGAGGTATTTGGTGAGCATCGCACCCACGTTTCTGTGTCCTCCTTTCTCCTCTTCACCTTGGGTCAGACAATTTATGCAATTACGCTTTCTTCCCAACAGTCTATTGTCTCTATACTGTATTTTCTAAACCTTGAGATACAGCTTCAAAATTTATGAAATCTGCTAAAAAGGCACATAAAGAAAAAAAAAAATTACCAACCACTTGATAAAGGGATGTAACTAAAACACCAAGAGCAGCAAACACCATTCCCAGGAAATTAAACTTCACATCGTAATAAGAATTTAGGATTACACCTACAGTTATAGGAATCTGTAAAGAAAAAGAGGTAAATGTAGTTCAGATTAAGTTCAAGAGACATCAATTTAGTATTCCTTTCACAATGTCTTATAAGGCTAATCATAAACACATAACTGGGAAACATGGACCTGTATAAATGTTTTCCCCCCCTCATTTGGGAAGTCTGGTTCTTAATCCTATTTCCTAAACACATGACATTCTATTAATAGATTGATAGTCATAAATCCTGTTTAAACTTCCGGTAAAATAATGAGTTAATGTGCATTGCATTTTTCAAGAAAAGACCACAAGCACGGTAAAGTGAGTAAATGGACCCCAATCAACATATAAGCATAGATAAAAATGTAACAGCAAAAACATTAAAATCTTACATATTGTAAGTTACTTGGTGCTGGAAAATCACTCTCGTGATTTTAAAGATCTTTCATTTAAAGATGCCAGCACCTCTGCAGTACTTGCTGCATATATTCTGAGACTTAACATTTCATGCTCAACCTTTTCACGGGTACCATACATGGTCTGACTCCCTCGGGGGGTGGAGAGCTGTTTTTCAGGTTGAGCTTCTGCAGATACTCTGATAAAACGGATTGCACCACCCAATATGCTTTTCCTTTCTGATCATAGCATTTAGAGATTTTCATCAAACAGTTGTTAAAGCACACCCTCCTGTGGTAAGGAGCGCCAGAGAAAGCCAGGATGGCTTTCTTTCCCACTCCCCAAAATAAGCCTGACGTTCGTACGCTCACGGATGGCTTATTTGTGAATTTCGGAGCGTGGCGCAAAGCTAAACAACGTGCATTCAAATTTCCCGGGATGTGGCTGAGTGACGCGCGAAGAAGCTGAAGCTACTCACCAGCGTGAGCTGTATTCTGGCGGAGAAGCTTTTCTGGTAGCAGAAGGTTTGGATGGCTATGATCACTGGCGTGGTCATGGCCTTGGCCAGCTGATAGGTACCTATGGTGTTGTTCTGCAGAGACAGGTTGGTGAAGACCACAAAGCCACAGAAGCTGAGGGCCAGGAGAAGGAGCTTGGAGGGCGGCAGACTTTTGGGGGCAAAGATGTCCAGCTTCTGGCAGATGTACAAGCCCAGCCAGGTGACCACGAAGTGCACCAGGGTCAGGCTCATGTTGGGGAAGCCGTGGTGCACATAGATCCATTTGTTGAGGAACACGATGCAGATGGACACTAGCAGGTTGAACAGGAGCCCGGCGGCGATTCGCCCGTTGCCCCGCACTCGGTCCGCCAGCGATGCCATGATCCGCCTCGCCCGCGCCCCCGCCACTCCAGAGAAGCCAGGGCAGTGAAGCCTTCGAGAGGGACGCCCGGCCTCTCCTTCCCGTCCACCGCTGCGTCCGCCCAGACGCCCGCCTCACCGTCGGGCTGGGTAGAGGCACGCAACGGCCGGATCCCGGGCGGGCAGCAGCCTTTGCGGCGCACACATGTTCCGCCTCCGATGGAACCCCGCGCCCCGTCCCGCGCCCCGCCCCATCGCCGCCTGCGGCCACGTGACTCCGGGCACCCCCGCTTCCGCCTGGAGCGGTCCGCGGCGCCGCGTGCTTCCGCGCCGGCGCGTTGGCGCTGCGCCGGCGGCCGCTCCTGGGCTCTCGGTCCTCTGCGGGTGTTGCCCAACCCGGTGCCGGACGCCCCTCGACGTTTATTTCCAGGGTGTTACTGACCCAACTTGCTAGTTAGGTTGTAGAGTGAGCTGTGCGATTTTAGGTATGAGACTGATGTCGCCAAGGAGGGGACATATTACTTATTGAACGCCTTTTTCTTAACAGTTGACTTCTTTTGCCTACTCAGTTCATAGCCTCCTTTGGATTACAGATTTGGGGCTGGTCATCTCAGCATGGAAGATTATTATATTATCATTCCTCTTCCCTTTTTTTGGGGGGGAGGGGGTTGCTATAGAGCGCGTGCGCTTGCCAGAAAGACAGAGACAGAGAGACAGAAAATGAGAAATCTACCCCCAGGGGGATGGACGCACCTCAATCCCTTCTCCTCCATTCTCTTCTCGGGATCTTGGGCACGCACACACACGCGCCCAGTGTGTTTAAGCCACAGGGTCTGGGACTTGAACCCAGCGACATAACCATTACGCTAACTGCTGGTCCTTCAGTCCACTTTTTCTAATACTTGAAAATAGTTAAAATATGACCGCTGAAATTTGAGTTAAGAGATAAAAATTGTTAGCGGATTCTAACTGCCTGTTGAGTTACATTTACTAATTCTGTCATTCAAAGCCTTCCTGACTCTAACCCCATCTTTGATATTCATTCAGTTAGTTTCCCACAGTCCTGCAGACTGTTCCAGGCTGATTTAACTGGTTAAGTGGCCAACTCTACTTCCTTCACTAAAGCACAAGAGTTTTAGTCCTAATTACAGTCACTGAAATATGATTATTTTCAATTACAAATGTCAAAAAGGTGATCATGGGTGTTAAATTGCAGCTGGAATGGAATAAGAGTAAGATTCTAGTCCAAATCTTTTGGCTCCACAGTCCACTTTCTGCCCTCATTATTATGGGAAATTTCAAATTTAGGCAGTTAAAATAATGATCCCGTTAGTACTTATCACATATTTTCAATATTGTCTTTCTTTTTATTTTTTAAATTTACCAGAGGGTGTGTGTGTTGTGGGGGTGAAAATGGGATGGAAGGAGAGGATAGGAGGGGGCCCTATCCATGGAAGAAGATAATGCCACAGTTCCTTCTCTTCCATGTCTCCCTTTTTGGGGTTTTGGGCATGCACACATGCAGCTGGCATGTTTTTCAACCACCAGGTCCAGGACTAAAACCATAGTCATGTGGGATCCAGCCAACTTAACCACCATGCCACCAGCTGGCCCTTGACACTGCCATTCTTGTTTCACATATAGTTCAAACGCTCACATATACCTCAAACGCTCCCCACTATTCATTCACAATACTATTATTGCATCTAAGAAAAAATACACACACACATATACACACACACACACAAACACAGAGTTTTTTTGCCTTCAGTGCACTGAAGAAGCAAAGAGACAGTGAGAAGGAATGTGAGAAATTACCCCCCAGGGGGATGGCCATGCCACAGTCCCTTTTCCTCCTGGGATTTTGGGCATGCACACGCATGTGCCCAGAATGAGTTTTAACCTGCTGGGTCTGGGACTCAAACTGCTGTTGGCCGTGTAGGAATCTAGTGTCTTAACCACCATACCACCTGCTAGCTCTAAAAAAAGTAATGTTAGTTCAGTAAAACCAACTAACAATGCCTTTTCTTGCTAAGATCTACACAGGAATTGTGTTAAATCTGTATATTAACTTGACATCCTTACTATTTTGACTCTTACAGTTAATGAACATGGTGTATGCCTCTTTGTTTATTTTATTATTTTTGGTTTGTTTCATGAGTATTCTAGTTTTCAGTATACAAATCCTATATGTTTGTTAGATTTACACTTTCATATCAGTTCATATGGCTCAACCTTATTTAAAATTTTTTTCTTTATTCATATGTGAATGCACATTGTTTAGCCTTGCATGCTTTTCCCCATGATTCCAAAGTTAATAAATGAGTCATCCATGATCATATGAACTTCAGGTTTATTTTGGGGAGTGGGAAAGAAAGCCATTCTGGCTTTCTATGGGGCTCTTAGCACAGAAGGGTGTGTTTTAGTAACTACTGTTGGATGAAAAATCTCTAAATGCTATGATCAGAAAGGAAAGGCATTTAAGGTGGTGCAATCCATCATATCAGAGTATCTGCAATGATACTCTGCATGATACTCATGACAGAGTGCACTCACACATACCAAAGAGAATGAACAAGAACAAGAGAAAAGGAGTCCACAGGGTCTGTCCACACTGTAATTCTCTCCCTCCAGTCCTTCAGTAAGTCAGCTCTTGGGCACTTACATGCCCAGAATTTCAGGTTGACCAAGCTGGGATCCGAGCCTCGGTTACCATGTCGAATCCAGCTTTTCCTGATCAGTGCGTTCTTGCTGTGCCATGGAGCCAGCTCTCTCCATCTAAAAAATATGGATGCATAGTAGGACATGAGAGAACTCCAAACAGTTCATGGAAATCTAATTAAACTGAGTTTATTTTGGTGCTAACATTTTTACAATCCACACAGTTTTTTCATAATATGCATTTTTCATGAACTCAATGAAGCCTCCTGCAATAGGAATTAAAGAGGTTTCAGTAAGTAAAATCTTCTGTCTTTGAATCACTTTAGCTAGCATAAGTAAAACTTGAGGCAGAGTCCATTGTCTATATATCTCTTTCTAAGAGCTATTAAGACAGTGTAGTAATCAGTTACTGGTACATGAGGAATAACATACCGGACTTGGAAATGAATCTACTTCCCATCTTAGAAGTTTAAAATATCAGAGTATTTATGATTACAGAAAGAAATTAGTATAGGAAATCTAATTTCCCTGTTATATAACAGAGAAACAGTCCTGGAATTTGTAAGAAATGAACTTTTCAATATAATTAGTCAATACACTCAGAGACATATCAATATGTTAAATTTTCAAAGGGCATGCGGCCGGCAGGTGGCGTGGTGGTTAAGGGCACTGGATTCCCACATGGCCAACCATGGTTTGAGTCCTGGACAATGGTGGGTTGCTTTCTCACTTTCTCTCTCTCTCTCTCTCTCTCTCTCTCTCTCTCTCTCTCTCCCTCTCTCCCCCCTTCTCTGGTCAAATTAAATAAATAAATAAAGGGACCAGCAGGTGGTGTGGTAGCTAAAGCACTGGATACTCCCACATAGCTGACCACGTTTTGAGTCCCAAACCTGGTGGATTGCTTTCTCACTTTCTCTCTCTCTCTCTGTGTGTGTCTCTGGTCAAATTAAAATAAATGAATGAATAAATAAAATTAAATTAAAAAAATTCTTAAAAATAAAGTTAAATAGAATAACTCTTTAAAAAATTTTTTTCAAAGTGCAATAAAAACATAAAATTCAAGTGTCTAAATTTTACATTTCCCTGAAATAAGACAAAAAGAAAAAGCCCAGTAATTACAAATATGCATATTTTATATAAAAATCCATTTATAATGGAAATCAGAATACAAACAGATGATGAATTATGATGGAATTTCATATCCCAATGGGTCAAATCCCTGGTCTAGAAGCATTAGAGAGGATTCCCGTAACTTCTGCAGCAATTTCCTTAGTTCTTCCTTAGAAAACACCTGATTTTTAAAAAGAGAAAAACAATTATGAGAACAAGGAAGAATTTGAATTTACAGCCTTCTAATCATTCTGATTCGCTCAATAAGAGCAAGAAATCCTCTTTAAGATTCATACTAGAGTGATTCAAAAACTTCAAAACTATTTCTCAGAGTTGGTCTATATACAGTTAACCCTTGAACAACATGGGGGGGGGGGGATTAAAGAATATTAATCTCCAAAAATCTGCATATAACTTAATGTTCAGGAAGATTCCAGACTCAAACCCAGAACTTTCCCATGAAGGTCAGCTTCACAGAACATTGTGTTACTGATCTGTCACTGTCTGGACCTGCATGTATCTTTTTTAAAAGTTTATTTTATTCATAAGAGAGAGTGAATGTGCATGCAAGGGACAGAAAAAGAAACAGAGTCAGGACTGAAAGAGAAGGGTATCCTTAACAGAGTCATATCACATGGCAAACCCCTACCCCCAGCCTTCTAGCTTGTCAGGATACTAGATACATACACAGGTGTGTTTTCAAGTTCACTTGGGATCTGAACCCATGGATGGTCTTGTGGCTTCCAATAGTGCAGTTCAGTATGTTACTGCCTAAGCCATCACCATCAGGCCACATACAACTTCTGACTCACTGAAAACTTAACTACTAAAAGCCTACTATTGACCAGAAGCCTTACTAATAATATAAACAGTTGATTAATGCAAATTACATATGTTATATATATATTATATACTATATTATTACAACAAAGTAAGCTAAAGGAAAAAAAGGTTATTGAGAAAATCATAGGGCCGTCTCCATGACCTGGTGATTAAGGCAAATGGATCCCATATGGCTGATGGCTCAGTTTGAGTCCCAGACATGGTGGCTTGAGAAAAATGTTGGGTGTGTAGTGTGCATACCCAAAATCCTGCAAGGAAGAAAAGATGGAGGAGAAGGGATTGTGGTATGATTATTCTCCATGGAGGATGCACTCTTCTGTCTCTCTCTCTGTCTCTCTGGTGAGTTTAGGAATTCTTTGGCAAAACAAAACAAAACAAATAAACAAACAAAAACCCATAAGGCAATAAAAATATGTTTACACCATTGTACTTTTTTTTTTTTTAAGTTTGCTATAGAGTATGGGAGGTTACCAAAGAGAGAGAAAGTGAGAAATAATTCCCCCAGAGGGGGTAGCTATACTACAAACCCTTCTCCTCCATTTTCCTTTCAGGATTTTGGGCACACACACAAGTGCCTGGTGTGTTTTTCAAGCTCCTGGACCCA